GGCACTTTTCCTCTGCCCGGCAGCTCTGCGGGACCCCAGTCGGAGCCGGCCCGAGGAGGAGGAGGATCCTAGGACCCAGGTGAGCGAGCCCCGGGAATGCTGCTGCGCATGTGCGGGAGTTGCCTCACCCCGTTCGTATCTAGGGATCCGACGTAAGTCGGATCCACGTAAGTCGGGGACTGCCTGTACCTTGTCTGAACATATCAAGCCAGATATCCAGCCTAATTGTACTTGGCCCAGAGGAGCCGGCCCGAGGAGGAGGAGGATCCTAGGACCCAGGTGAGCGAGCCCCGGGAATGCTGCTGCGCATGTGCGGGAGTTGCCTCACCCCGTTCGTATCTAGGGATCCGACGTAAGTCGGATCCACGTAAGTCGGGGACTGCCTGTACCTTGTCTGAACATATCAAGCCAGATATCCAGCCTAATTGTACTTGGCCCAGAAAAAGGAGGGAAATACAAAGCTGGCATAAAGACATCTTTGCCTCTGTCTTCAGTTCCTGGGGCCAGTAGGGATCCAGGTCAGTATATTATTATAATGTAAAGGCTGCTCTGGGTTTCACCCAGCCTCTATGACCTCAACCAGCCTTTACAGCAACTGGTGACTGCCAGAATGCAGGGGTCTCTGACCCTACCCCCCTGTGCTGGGGCCCAAATGTGGTTACTGCACAGCAACAGAGCTGCTTTTATGGTCCTCTGCACTGCTTTGCTATACCAGGGCTTAAGAGTCTGGTAAATATAATTCGATTATAATACAGTGTTTGTTGTTTTGAATTGGATCAGTGATCTGTTTAGTCCAATATGCTATCTCTGACAAAAAACACGACTCTGAATCAGAGGGTTTATCATTTATATTCTGGGCTTGTTATCACTGGGGCTATAACACGGACAAAAATAGGGAGAAGTAAGGAAAGCTGCAAATCAGAGCAAGGATTTTACCCTCATTTCATACTGGAGCTCTAGAAATGGAATTTTAGGAAAGATTTGAAAAGCACGAGGAAAGGAATTGCCGAGTAGATTTCAGAAGAGGCAGAGTCGGTGAGGTAATATATTTCATTGGGTCAACTTCTGCTGGTGAAAGAGACAAACTTTTTTAAATTACCCAGAGCTCTTCTACAGGCTGGGAAACTTAGAGCAAGTCTACATTTAAAATGCTGCATCCACACAGCTATTTAATGTTGCAGTTTAATGAAGACTCTCTAAGAGGAGGAGAGAGAGAGAGAGCTCTCCCTTCTGCATAGTTAATCCCCAAGAGGCAGTTGGGTCAGCAGGAGAACTCTCCTACCAACATAGTGCTATTTACATGGGGCATTAGTTTGTATAACTGCATTGCTCAGAGGTGTGGGCTTTTCCAGTGTCCACAAATCCATAACTTTGCTAGACACTAAAAATCGTGGTCTTAATAGAGACACTGGATTCATGGCTTGTTAAAACAATCTATAGTTCACTAACACCCCTCACCTGCTTTTCCTCCTTCCCTCATTTCTTCCCTATAACTGGAGACATGTGAAAGGCCACTTCAGCCTGCATGGTCCTTTGAAATATACTAACTACTTACGCTGAACACTTTGTTCCATCTTATATCTATCTGTGATATGTGAAGTGAGTTCCCCAGACCTGATGAAGACCTATGTGTAGCTCAAAAGTTTCTCTCATCAACAGAAGTTTGGTACAACAGAAGAAATATCTCACCCATCTTTTCTCTCCAATATCCTGGGACTGACACAGGTACAACATACCTTGATTTTTGAAAGGACATTTCGAGCTAAAGAGGAAGCATGGACAAAAGTAATAGAAATGTTCATTGGTGAAGATTTACTGTTCCACTGCAAAATATTATTGTAGTGTCAAGCACATTCAGTAGATAGAAAATAAAACTTTAATCTCACCTGAAGATTTTAGGAAGTCCAAAGCACCGACTTTCCAGTAACTTTTTCTTCTGTAAGGCTTTTCCTTATAACTGAACACAAGAGGAAGCTATTCACAGGTTGCAAGTGCATTTTAAGGTGGATACAAGTGGGAAGTTAACAACTAAATGTTAA